GTTTAAAATTGTACTTTATTTCTGAAACTTCTGCAGTCCTATTTTTAGAACAGGTCAAGGACTTTAAAGAACAAACACATTTTAGCAATATGCAACGTTAATGATATAGTTAAAATGTTATTGAACAGCTGTACGATTTGTAACTGGCACTGGAAGAAGCAAAATATATCTGATGATCCAATCTTCATTTAATGAATTAATAGAGAATGATACAAGTTGAGCTCTGTATGCTGGTCAACATGTTAGTTACATTCGAAAGCTAAACTACTTTCTTTTTTTCCACCGAAAGTGAGGCAGCCGATCCACTAGGCAGTAAGCACCGCTTAACTACTATTTGTTTGTACAAAAACTGTACTAAAAGCTTACAGCTTATTTTAAATAAATTTTAAATACGGAATACGGATCCTCCGAAAAGCGCTTTTTTCTATCGTATTTGTTTGAGATTTCAGATTAAAGGAAAATAATCAGTTCTATTTCTCTGTGACGGGAATCCTGCCTGTTTGGTTTTCGTGGTTTTCTATATGTGTAACCCAGTTTCCCACAGAAACGGCTGCATGAAGGCCGATAGCTCTCATATGCTTTGTTATATTCAGATAGCCCTAACCCTCATACTACGACAATTATCACACTAAATTAGGATAGAAGATTTCGAAACAAGATTTTAAATTGGACTCCGGATCCCCACTGGCAGAGCATCTAAAATTGCATAGCACAGCTAGCTCTACACGGGTTCAAATCCTGGCCGACGAAGTGGTTGCGTGGAAGTTTTCTTGGTTTTTTTACAAAAGGAATGAGAATATAAGTCAGATCCTCTTAGAAAGTTTCCTTCCTCTTGGACAGATAAACAATTGCGTGCTTCGCCGTAATCCAAATACATTAAACCCGTCTGTATTGACAGCTATCATTTTATCTTTGTAAAGAAATATTAAGGTAAAAACACGTAAATATGAATTTGCTTTAAACTGCAAATATTTTTAAGCAATTGACATTTTAAGCAGCAAAGCTTTTTAGTGGACTCGCGAACAACTGAAAAATGTAGCCCAGCTGGTGTAGTGGTTAGCGTCGCTGACTGCCGCATCAAAGAGTCCGGCTCGAATCCCAGAGAAAGATGAATGTTCGTAGATGTATAGTGTCCGTGCAGCATGGGGGCACTCTAGACATGCAGCGAGCCGAAAGTCCTCTCGAGAGGTTGGTGGTAGGGCAACAACAACTGAAAATTAAGAAAAAAAGAATCGATATAAAACTCTACCGATTACTAAAGCAATCTAAGAAAACCTTTTCATCAGGCAATAAATTCTACTCATATAAGAACAGTTGTATTTTTAAGGTGTTTATCAAGTTAAATTTATGAGAACCTACTCAAAGTTTGGTTTTTCAGAGCCTTTGAAGATTCATCAGAATGGTGATAAGATCATTAAGTGTGAGAGAGGCAAAAAAATGTTTTAAATAAAATAATTGCTGCAAAATGGCAGCAAATGTCATAAGCGAGTATAAGTAGTTATATAAATAATTAAAAATATGCAAAATTTCTTCTGATGACATCTTTCAAACAGCCTAATATTTCTGCAAAGAAGTAGCACATATTTAGTTCACTCTTGGTATTTGGGGCTATGAACAGAAAGTTCATCAAAGGTTTTTATATACTACTTCCTGATAAGCTATCGAGTTCAAATTTTGTAAACATATTGATTGCGGATGATAATACAATATGGTAAAACAAGTTTTTATAAATTTCCATTAAAATTTTTTAAAATTTAATGTTGACACGATTTTGCACATATTTTCATTTGCAAGCCATCTATAAAAGTCAAAAGTATAACGTTTGCACTGACGTAAAATATTCTTTTAATTGAAATTTGTGTAACATTTTTAACGTAACTTCTGATTTCTGGGTGAAAAGTCAGAAAATGTTTTCGATTGTTTGAGGCATTTATTAGAAGTAAAACAAAATATTATTCATTTACTTTATTGGAAGTAAAAAAAAATATTATTCATTTTTGAAAAATGATTTTTCAATTGAAAATTTTCATTGAAAATGAGTTATTAAGATTAAGAAAATAAAAATTAAAAACAAAAATTTAAAATGTTTTTTAACATAAGCTTTTATTCAAAACTTCTAAAATTCTTAATAAGCCAAAGGCAAAAAATAATTTATGGCATATTTTAATGGGAACAAGAGATTAATTAAACTTCTTTACAATATTCATGTGCAATTTGTATCAAGGATTATAAAAGTGCAGACACTTAAATAATGAAATCAAACAGTCGATTTCCAATGTCAAAAATGTATAAAGGGCGCCACATTTTTTTATTATTCATGATATAAATTTGTAAATGAATTTTGTAAAGAATATTATTTAATCTCTTATTCCTATTAATCTATACAGTTAAAAGTCTTTAATCCGGACGTTCATAATCCGGAATGATCTATAATCCGGACCTCAAAGCTACAAACTTTTATGCGCATATGTGCATAATACATTTACGCATGCACATTTAATGTATAACGGACGGCATAAGCTGGAATAAAATGATCTAATTATCTATTTCAGTTAATATTGCAGATAGCGTTGTTCCTTAATCTTTTAATTGGATCTGGCTTATTAGTTTTTGCAGACTGTTAGAGCAATTTTATAAAAAGTGAGCTTGAGATTTGGATTATGTCAAAAAGAATTTATGATTCTGAAGTTGCCAAAGCATATACAAAGCGAAAGCATGTTTCGATGTACCACTTCCGATAGTGAAGAGATAGTGAAGTGACAGAGATGTTATTGAAAACGAAAAAATTTTGATTGACAATTTAGTCAGTGTTCTCGACACAGCAATTATAGGACTTGAACAGCGGAACTTTGTAACTGAACAAGAAATTATGTCTGTTTATAGAATTAAAGAGAAAGTATTAGCACATAAAACGAAGCAACTTAAACAACTTACATTGAAAGAAATGTTTAATAAAGTAAACAAATAAATATTAAGCTTTTTTTTTTTTTTTTTTTTTTGTAAATTTTGATACCCTTTAGTTCATAATTGCTCATTATTTCATAAATTACGGTTTCACATTTTTAATTTTATAATTTCTGCATGGCATCATACCAGATTTAAACTGATGATCTATAATCCGGAAAAACCGCTAATCTGGAATGACCGAAGTCCCGACGAGTCCGTATTAAAGACTTTTGACTGTATAATAAATTACGCTACTCGTCTGTTATCGGGATCGAATTAAAAAATGTATGCATGTATATACAGATCTATGTGTTCATGTATGCGCATATATATACATACGAACATATACGTGTGTTTACACACATATAAATACACAGACATGCAAATGATGTGCATACATACATTCCTGAATCCCTTCCGATAGCAGAACAATAGCTAAATTACTCTTCTTTTTTTAATTTATTAATCATTTGAGTTATAAATAAAAGCTTATTCTATAAAAATCTTTTTTGTAATTTTTTTTCATTTCTTGAAGAACATCTAAAACAAACATTCTTATTTTCTCTTAAATTAACTTTCTAACTGGTAACAAATTTCTTATTACTTTAGAACCAGTGTAAGGTTGCCGTTATTGTAAAACATCAAGTAGAGTTCTTGATCGTAAAACTTCCTGCGCTATTGAGGGTCATTCATTAACTATTGTCATCAGGGTTGGAGGGATACTTGTTCCCTTAGGCACTTGGGGTTTCAAAAATCCGGGCTATCCGTTCTTCACGTTTCCTGTAAGTGTAACAAAAACACGGGACAGTCCGTTTTCAAGGAGATATTTAAAATGACAATATTACGGGAGAAACCGTTAAGCAGCTTGCATAAAAAAATAAGAAAATCCGGGTCAAACCGTTAAAGGGTTATAAAAGCATGTGTAATCGAAGGAAGGAAAAAAAAAAAAAAATCCGTGATGCATCAGAAGAGTACCACTAAAATACACGTATAATTTAATGGTGTGTGAATTGTTTAACAGTGGCTCTTCAAATTTAATAATGGATATCTTTCTTATGGACAACTGCACAGTGCATAGCTTAAATGTCACTCTTAAACATACTGAAAGTTATATACAAGTATTTGCATGCAAATACCATAGCCTTAATTCAGCCATGTGATCAAGGGATTATTAGAGTGGTGAAAGAATACTGTTGCCATGAAACGAGTGTTAGAATCCTTTATAACATGCATGTTATGGTTGCAAGTGCAATTGAAGCAAGGAAAGCTAGCCTTTTTTCAATGCGTTGCATTTGTTGAACATATTTTTGGAATTTCATCCCAGAAAATACAATAAATTACTGTTTTAAACATGGCTATCTTTTAATAAATGTTGAAATAATGCAGATCTGAGAGATGCCCTAAGAGTGTTAAGATTAGAGGTACAGCATTGGTCAGATAATTCCAGAAACATTATGAATTTGAACACTTCATAGTGAAATTTTGTGTAACAGCTGTAGACCATCAACTATTAAATTATCTTTGTGAATGTTAGTATGCATGTGTTTATAAATGTAGTTTTATTAAACTAGTTAAATTTTTGAAATTTTGACATTTTCACATTGCTTAATAATATCAAAATGGTCATGGTCGGATGTGACCACATTAAAGACCACTTGTTAAATATGCAGTTTGCTACCACAGAGTTTGTCTGATATTTGCATGGGACTATTTGTTATAAAACTTAACACATAATCATAATGGATATAAAGATTTTTCGTTCATCACATTTTATGTTTGTTTTAAAATTTAATGGTAAATTATTTTTTGTCATCATGATCTTGGAATTTTTGCTTTCCTAAAACTTTGTTAACAGTAGTTAATTTTTATGTAAACGATGAATATAATAAATTTTCTGAGCGATTACTTTTGCTTCTGTTATAAGTGTCTTGTTATATTTGAAATAGTAATTTTGTTTTCCCTAATTGTGGACATTGTACTTCAAGAGTACTTTACTGTGCCATATATGTTGAAGGTGTTTTGAAATATTTGCTAAGTTTGTTTCACTTTCGCAGTTGATAACTAAGGAAATACCTGCATCTTATCAGTCAGAAACTTATGTTGATTTGAACAACCAGCTGAAAGGATTGACTGAGGATTTACATTCTACAAAAGAATCCAAAGAACAAATTACTCAACGCTGCCATGAACTTGATATGCAGGTTAGTGATTATGAAGCATTAATGCACTTTGTTGTTCGCATAAATTTTATGTGTTTATTGTGTGCTAAAGGTTTGTGCTTTTAAAAGATCTAAATTTTTTTTTATGAATGTATATATACATTTGAAAATGTGATACAGTTTACAAATTCAGCTTACTATAAACATATCATAGTACAAATGAAAAAAAGTGTTGTTCTGTCAAATCATTCTCGTCTTATATCAGATCAAGCCCATGAAATTTCATCATGGCCAAGATGCATGATTTGACCTGTCATTTGCAAGAGCCTTTAGGCATCATAAGTACAATCATCGTAAGTGTAAGTACAACTTTGCTCAGATCTGCCTCCAATAGGAAAGAGCACACCAGGAAGATTGGTTAGAAGGTCTCCCACCCTCTACTCCTACCACCAACCTCTCGAGAGCATTTTCGTCTCACCACATGTTTAGAGTGCCCCATGCTGCACAGACACTGAATTTACGAACATCTGAGTAGGATGGCTAAACATTAAAAGCATAGAAGTTTAAGTATTAAAAGCATGGAACTGATACATAAAAATTATAACTGCTGTTAGTAAAATAATAAAAGTAGCTGCAATAATAATAGCTGTTAAATTGGCAGTTTAACAGCTGTGACTTGCATGAGGCCATTTTTTGCATTCAAAAACTGGTTTATTTTGAAGTCAAACTCATTTTAGCCATATGAATATAAAGAGTTTTAGTAAACGAGTTATTTGATGAATGGATTACCATATAATCGTTAGGTGTGAACAAAATTGAAAACTTTATTGTGTTATCTGTGATTGATTTTGATTTTGGTTTACTGAATATCGTACCTCTGTCAAAACAAAACGTAGACTAGAGCTTCCTGAATTGTTAGTTAGCAGGAGCAGATGTTTTGCATAGTTTTCCCTCCCCCTTAAAAACAAAATTTAAAGTTTGTTTGTTATAAATGTGTAGCTACCTTTAATTCCTTTTCCATAAGCTTTCGAAAATATTCTTTTTAAAAATTAGAAAACTGGTATTTCAGATTCTGTCTGTCTGTCTCTCTCTCTCTCTCTCTTTTTTTTTTTAAAGGAAACAAAACTGTACTTTACTAATGAAAATTACAATTTCCAATTTCCAACAGTAAAAATTGGCTTGTATTTGAAGTGTATATAAGGAAAAATTTGAAAAACTCATAAGTTCATCATTGGAAATCTCTACATAATGATTAATGATTATCAAGAATGAGATTTTTAGAAAATCGACCGAAATTGATGTTAGCAGCCATAATTGAAAACAACTTAGGTTATTATTCTGTTATGAAACTAAGCTCATAATGAACATGTATCCAAATACAGCAACTATAACAACACTTACTTTGAATGCGGAGAAAATTCTTCGTATTAGTTGTACAAATGTTACAAACAAAGTTGTACTGTTATTAGTTGTACAAATGTTGCTTTACAACAAATACATACCAATCAAATTTATTTGCTGCTAGAAAATTTCTTGACTTTATGTCAATGAGACTGAAAATAATTTATTTCCAAAATGTTCCTCTTTTTTTACCATGCTACCTCTGTATATTAATTAATAAATCTATGTGGTAGCATTATTGCAAATTTTACTATCAGTGTCCCTTAAAGCTACTGAGAGTCTGGATATCAAATACTTTTGAGTATTTTCAGTTTGAGTTTTATAGATTATAAATATCAGGTGCAGATATTTTTTATGAAGCATTTTAAATGGGCAAGCCTTTTAATATGCATTTCATCACCCCCTTTTTTTAAAATTTAGGTTTGAAATTTAGAGAACTTAATGACTTAGGTAAGTAAATTTTGTAGGTTCATTATATTTTAGTAAAAGATTTCTTTCAAAATTTATAGGTAGCTATTCTATTAGAAGAAAAAAATAGCCTGTTATCAGAAAATGAAAAACTTCTAGAGAGGCTGAACCATATAGAAAGCTTTGAGGATCCCAGGTATCTTTTCATAATCTTAGTTTTTATTTTTGGAGCTGAGAGAATATTTTTTTTTTAAATTGGAGTAATTTGTTAACCTCTCAGATCATCATTGAAGAATGTAATTTAAATTTGTAATAGATTTATCAACAAATTGCATCACATTTTTATAGATAAACTTGCAAAATCAATACACATATACACAGAGGTTGCTTGGAAAATATATGGCAAAATTTTTAAAGTGGTAGAAGGGATAAAAAAATGCGTGCTCTGTCATATAGAGTATGCCGGAAATGACACATTTAAGTGTCAGTAGATGGCGCAGGTTATGGCAGTTGATGGATTTGGGAGTAAAGGCATTATTTCTCCTATGGGATTTACAACAGCATGCATCACTTTACAGTTTGCAGATATCTCTGAATATGCAGAAAATTATATGCAGTTGGGTTCAATCCTTCCACAAGCATGAGAGCTGTTTCACATGACCTAGGTCTGATACTCGTACGGGAGATTTTATATGACGAAGGCATGCACCCATTTCACTTGCAGAGAGTACAAGCATGGAAAGTGAAAAACTATCATCTCCATGTGGAATTTATCCTTTGGTATCTGCAATAGATTGCATTACAGACAGAATATGTATTATTTAGAGATAAAGCAACATTTGAATGAGCACTTTTAAATGGCCACAGCACATGTCTTGAGTGTTTGAAAATCTGCATGCGGTAAGACCATACATACCAGCAAAAATTTTCAGTCAATGTATGGGCTGGTTTAGTGCATAATTATTTGATTGGACCATACATCCTATCTTGTAGCTTGGACAGGCACACATACTCCATCTTGCAAAAGACATTGCCAGATTTGCTGGCCGATATACATGGTTATCCAAATTAAACTTCCCCAACTCAGAGGCCTGTGCAGAGTGTTGTATGGGTCACAATGTGATGAAATTTTAAAAATAAACACTTCAGATCATGCACTCGAGATTTATTAAACAAAAAAAATTAGTACAAGAAGTTGTTGATAGGTGGCGCTGCAGATCAACAAGACATTCTACAGATGTTCTATATGTGTGCCGTGGTTATCCACAATTCTTTCCATTCACAAAGCAGTGTGTTCCACAGCAGAATGCAGTAAGTCCCCATTAATTCCACGAACATGTCGAATATTTGTGTCTTTCAGATGTGCCAAGGTTGCTGGGTGTTCTCGGTAGACCCGATCCTTTAAGAATCCCCATAACCACAAGTCGCATGGCGTGAGATCAGGTGAGCAGGGAGGCCAAGCTGTAGGGAAATAGCGGCTGATCACACGTGCATCGGTAAAAGTTGCCCGTAACACCTGTACTTATGTTTCTTTGAGGCAGAAGTCCAACATGATGGCATTCACACACATTTTAGCCCTCATATCAGGAACTATCTGGATGACATACATGCAAACCACTGTAAACGTGGACCTGTTTGCCACTGTGTTTGCCAGCTTTGTCAGATTTGAATTTTTTCTGGGAGCATTCTTTCATTCTTTCTGAAAAGCATTTTGCACTGTGTAGAATTGCCTCATTAACTGCAAACAAAATCTTATTGTCAGACTGTTGCTGCTGGAGTTGTTAGGGGCATACTTAGCATGCTTGAAAATGTATTGTCATCGTATGTATATATATTGATGGTGTGAAGCATGTGTTTGTGTTGTAAGTCACTCGAATGAGCATCTGCTGTAAAACAATACTTGTTACAAAAGTTTGTTAAATTTCCTTTGGCCTATCTTTCTTATTTTCCTCCCTTCCAGCAATTAAATGTGTTATTTTAGGGCACAGAGTCTGTGACAAAAAAATGCTTGCTTTGGTTACCTTTACTAGTTTTGGCAGATACTTTCCAAATACCCTGTGTGTGTGCATGTGTTTATATATATATATATACGTAAACTGTTCATCAGTGTTAAAGTATAATGATAAAAATATGCATACTGAGTTAATGTTTCAACCAATATCCAGTACTGTAATTATTTATGTTAATTAAATGCAACTGAACACAAAATTGCACCTCAGCACATATGTTAAACCAGAAATATGCAAATTCGATGTATGACAATGTGGTGAGCAATGGACGCATATTGGAATTCCAGTCTATAGTGTTATTTAATGTCAATGTGGTGTGAAATGGACGCATTTGTCAGCGCGGTTTCTGAGAGTGATCAGTATTCTGTAGTTATGGCTCAATGACAGCATTTAACTCTTAAAGGGCACCAGTGTATAAAATATATTGGATGTTTGTCAATTTTTTGACCTCCTTAAAAATGCTAATTTTTCTACACTAAAACTGTGAACATGAGTTTCTAGTCTTTCCTTTTGATTCTGAATTCCAGCTCAGTATTTTATTTTGCCCAGTGAATGCTCAGTATTTTGCAGTTATGAAATAAATATACCTCGTTCAAATGTATGTTTGAAGAGTTGTAAATTCTATTGGAGGAGAGGAAGAAATTCAAAGTCTTCAAATATATGGCATGCACATGCTGAACCTTTATTTACTGCATTTGAATTAAAACTGATAATCAAAGGATTATTTATACAATTTCAATACCGATATATAAAATATACCAGTGCGTCTTGATATCATAGCAGGAAGCATGTTCTTTTTTTAATGTATTACCTAGAGCATAAAATATAATAATTTAAAAAATGTAACTAATTTCTCAGCTGAGTCGCGGTGTTTCATTTCTTAACATCTATTTTTCAGCCGAGTTGCATTTCCATGTAACATTATACTTGTTCAGTTAGAGTATGATACGGTTTACTCATACAGTGTTATATTTGCTAAAGTTTCAATAAAATAATATTGAGTTTAAATCACATTCAAAAGCTTTTTACACATATTTTATGTAAGCTTGTACAACTAGGTGGCATCATTGAAGTGCCTAAAAACATAAATGTTATTTCTAAAATTTTTAATTTATAGAGAAATTTTAAAACTTTTCTATTTTAGACTTACATAACCATATTCAAGCATCCATTTCTATAGACACACATCAAAAATACATAAAAGCAGATTAAAAATATGAAAATTAACAACTGGCAGCTACATGGGAAAAAATGTCTTATAGGGGCAGTAGAGTAAAATATATACTGGCCCTCAAAATTTGCAATTTCACTCTGTATTTTTTTAAATTCTCAATTTTGTATTCTTAGGGTCCACAAGTTACAATTCATGCAGAATTTTATCACAATTTAATTTTTTTATATATCACCCCTGGAAGGGTAAAGATCAAAAGTGGTGAATATTTGGTAGAATTGAGGGAGGTCAAACACAAATGGAGATCACGTAAGATTTGAATATCCCTCAAAGTGTCATATCAAGAGTTTTAGCCACTGTTTAATAAGCATTGGGTCAGTTGATAAGACAAGTGACCAAGAGCAACAAATGCATCAGATGGACTGTATTTTGTCGGAGCCTAGATGACCGGACCAGAGCGTTGTTTACTGATGAGTTCAGATATAGTCTGAACAGTGATTCTAGATGTGTTTTGATCTGGAGAGAGGGAAAAACATGCAACTTGCCTTCCCTTGTTCGTGAAGTATCCCATTTTTGCCATGGTTTTAATGGTTTAGGGAGGAATCATGGCAATGGCCGCAGAGCTGCATATCTTTGAAGGAGTTCCTGTAACTGATCAGAAATATGTGGACGAGGTGTTGGAATACCAAGTTAGACTGTTTAGGGTGCTGTTTGCCGATAGTTTGTGCTAATCAATGACAATGCCCACTGTCATCGAGCATGTGATGACAGGCTACTTGCAAATGGAAGATTTCACTTGAATGGATTGGCCACCTTAGTCATTCGATTTGAACCCAGTTGAGCATGTGTGAATAGAACACTGAATTTCAGCTTGCCAAATTTCTTCCAGGACCTGAAAAGTGCACTTTTAGAAGAGTAGCATGCACTTCCACAAGACTTGATCAACACTTTGGTAAGTCCATGAAATCAAGATGTGAGTGAGGTATGCATGAGTGTGGTGCGTGACTGACTATACACCATATTAAAAAATTTTTTTTCTACAAAAGGTAACTTCATTTTTTGATGTGAGTGAGGTGTGCATGAGTGTGGTCCAAGGTGACCATACACAATATTTAAGAAAAATGTTTTCTACAAAAGGTGACTTAATTTTTGTGATGTGAGTGAAATATGCATGAGTGTGGTCCAAGGTGGCTATGCACCATATTAAAGAATCCATCATTTTCCAAGTTACATAAATTTGGTTTTAATTTCTATATTTTACAAATAATCCACTGTCAAATTTTGTAATTTATGTTTACTAATGCTTATGTACAAATTTCTATTAATTAATAATTTTTCATTAAGAGTCATTTACATTTTATTTCTGTCATTATCCTTTAATTTTGATGGACCAGTGTATATAAATGTGTGTGTGTAATATACATGGTGATTGTAATTAAACTTGCGCTATTTAGAGGACTGTAGCCATAACTAAATTGCGGATTAATTAAAAAATTTATAGAGACATTTCAAAGGATCTGTTGAAAGATTATCCCCCGGAAAAAACTGCTAGGAGGCACATTACAGACAAACTTTTTAAAAAGACTTGCAATGAATAACTGTTAGTTATTTTAACATTTTTTAGATCGAGTGTGTAGCGTTCTTTCAGATACAATGACTATTACATTGCCAGAACATGCATTAATTATGACCCCTGTTTCTAATCTAGTGGTTTATGTATTCCATATCCAGCCAGATATGTACAGGGATGCTGGAATGTGCCAGAGAGGCATCATGCTGCAACTATAAGTCATGTATTGCTGCTAAGAGTATATTGTCTAGGAAAACAATTGTTAATATGCCATAGAGAAATACCAGGTATGAATGTCCTGTGATTTGTTCAGACGGATATGGTCCAATCATATGGTAAACATATGCAAATACAAAGTGTTTTTTCTTGCACTGGATATGACATCGTACTTTACTCTTATCTTTATTATTTATCTGGCTCATACAGGCATAGTGTATTTTAGCATT